TTGCTTCGTACCCCCCCCCCCTCTAAAATAGAGATATTTATAGCGGGTATTTACGCTATGGATTGAATTGAGCTAATTAAACAACAATAAAACAATTAATTTCAATAAAATAAAATAAATTAAAGCTAATTAAAATGAAATTTACTGACCCTTTTTGGTAAGTACAAGATAAAGTACAGCATTTAGTTTTTCTCCCATAAAACAAACAAATAAGATACAAGAAAGTCATCAAATCAAATAATTTTATAGGTAATAAGGTATTGCAAGAAATTTGAATAAGTAATATTTTAATTAATTAATTCCTGTTTAATTATTCTGAGAATATTTGTGAAAAACAGCAACAACGAAACACTTTACTCATTCTGTGATAATTTGGTATTTTCAACCTGAATGGCGCCTTATGTGAGACTAAGCAACAAGGACAGAAACCCCCACTTTTATCAGTTTATCACTTTTACACCTTCTGACCGAAAGGCAACAATTCAGCAGCACCCGCCACATGCACGACTGCTCCTAACCAAATAGAGGGATTGAATGACACTTTTATAATACACTTTACAGATGAAAGCTTAGAGTGTGTTCAACAGATTCAAATCTTTGACTTTTCGGCCCGAAATTTCATAAGCTTAAATCAGAAAAGAGGATGCCAGTAAAATAACCATTTATTACAAATGTGATCATTTCGTTCGTCATAAATGTGACCACGTAGTTTGTCATACTCACTGGCTGTTCATTTTATGAGACCCGAAGGTCTTTCTATTGCAACGACAGTCTGAACTCGAAATGATATAGACTCCACAAGGTGCCAAGAAGTGTGTGTTTAATTCCATTTAGTCAATTTATTGAGAAGTATGATTTACACCCGCTTCACAGGTGTCAGCTGAAGATTACGGTGAAAATTCAAATTTCGAATTCATCCCAACATCCTCAATTAAACTGAAATCTGTAATTGTTCTGGCTAAAGAAAATAACTAAAGTCAGTGTGGCGTTCTTTGAATCAATATCAGATAAAGTAAGCATGGTGGATTATTAGAAGAGTTGTGGTTATTCAGAGAACAAATACAGCATTGTGGGATTAACAAAAGTATTCAAGCAATTACAGAACTTAATCCCAGCCAAGATAATGTCCCCCATACTATTACACTACCTCTAGCATTTTGCACTCTGCGTTAAATAACAAGAATGATCAAATACTAAAGCAATTTTTGTCCCATACTTCTACTTTATTTCTAGGTAAGAAAAACATGATACTAGCTTTTTACCTTGTTTGTGATGCACTTAGAAGTATAAAATAACACCACATCACCAATGGCGTGGCAAATAGGGCAATCGCCGATGGCCCAGATTTCAAGAGCCTGAAAGACTCAATGAAATTTAAAAAGTTTCATGTAAAAAAAGAAGAGAAAATTATAAAAGATAAAATAAAAATTTAGCACTGAGCTGTTTTTCTTTTATCTCCATCTTCAATACACAGTAAGCAATCTTTCTCTCTCTCTGAGTTCCTTTCTTGGAACCAATAAAGCTACAAACCAAAACAATATTAATAATAGAGCATTTACTCTTATATCTGCTAGTCCTAATTGCTTTTTGAGAAAAGAATACAAGAAAAGCTTCGAATGATGGTAATTACGACCATTGTTAGAATCGTTTGGAGTGAAGATTGATACAGCCATCTTTGGTTTGGTTTGGAGTGATGGTAACTACAACCATTGTGAGAAACGTTTAGAGTGAAGATTGATACAGCCATTCTTGGCTTGGTTTGGAGTGATGGTTGCTATAACCATTGTGAGACACGTTTAGAGTGAAGATTGATACAGACATCCTTGGTTTGGTTTGGAGTGAAGGTTACTACAACCATTGTGAGAAACGTTTAGAGTGAAGATTGATACAGCCATCCTTGGCTTGGTTTGGAGTGATGGTAACTACAACCATTGTGAGACACGTTTAAAGTGAAGATTGATACAGCCATCCTTGGTTTGGTTTGGAATGATGGTTACTATAACCATTGTGAGAAACGTTTAGAGTGAAGATTGATACAGTCATCCTTGGCTTGGTTTGGAGTGATGGTAACTACAACCATTGTGAGACACGTTTAGAGTGAAGATTGATACAGCCATCTTGGTTTGGTTTGGAGTGATGGTAACTACAACCATTGTGAGAAACGTTTAGAGTGAAGATTTGATACAGCCATCCTTGGCTTGGTTTGAAGTGAAGGTTACTATAACCATGTCTTGGTTAACTTGGAGTATTCTTGCATTGAAATCACCTTATATTTCTTGTGCCATTAATGAAAACAAATTTTTGTTTTTATAGATGAAATATCAGAAAAGAAGCTAAAAACTGAAGAAAGGGCATTGCTGTACAATTGCAACTATAGAAGAAGGGTTAACGAGAACAGGAAAATGCACACTTTTGTTGGTGTTTTTTTTTAGACCTTTGGTTTGCCACAATATATCAGACTCTTCCAGTTATTTGTTGTCCACGGTTTGCGGCCCTAACATCATTGAAGCTGGTTTTTCCTGTCTTTTTCGGAGATGAGCAGTTTTCGTACTATTTAAAGACAGTTTTTGTAATATCATTTGTAGGTAGGATTAAAAATAAGTCGGGTCCAGCGCAATGTTGAAAGAATTGGTCAATTGTGGCGCCATCTGTTATCTGATTTAGGAGATTATGTTGATTTTTGGTTGTAATGTACTGAACTTCCATATTGTTTCTTTGAGTTTTGAGAGATGGGCCTTAAGTATTATGAAGGTATAATAAAAATCATTATCTATTAGAGGCTTGGAAAACTTTAAAAGCTCACATGTTAAGAAGTTCCGCTCCTCCGAGTTATTAAAACAAATTATTTATTTAACAAATATCCACACATCTAATTGCCTTTGTTTCTGCACTGACTGTATCGTAGGTGTTTCGGTTCGAACCAAGGGCGCTGAAGAACAAGGGTCTCTATTCACCCCAAATAATTGTTTCCATTGTCGATAGTTTATGAAAAAAGTGCCACTACGTTAAGCCTAAAATTTAACAATAAAACATTTTTTTTACAGCTCCATCTGTCTTAAAGCGCTAGGATTTCATCAGTTTATTTGAATGAGACAGACAACTAAAATTAAATATTCTAGCCTACTTAAAAGAAATAAGACAAGAACTTTTGTGAATTGTTTTTGTATGAAATCTTATTAAGTGACTGATAGGTTTAAGTCAACAAAGAATGTATTGATGCTTTTAGGTCGAGGGTTTATGTGAAGGTCAGCTGAATGAAAATTCAAGTATAGGTATGATTTTTGTTTGTTTGTTTGTTGAATTTCTGGCAAAGCTACTCGAGGGCTATCTGCACTAGCCATCCCTAATTTTTGAGATAGACTAGAGGGAAAGTGGCTGGTCAACACCGCCAACTCTTTCCAAAACGAATAGTGGTGTTAACTGTTACATTATAACGCCTCCAAGGCTGAAAGGGCGAGTATGTTCGATGACGGGATTCGAACTCATGATCCGCAGATTGCGTGTCGAGTGCCTTAATCACCTGGCCATGCCAGGTCTCATGGGTGTGATATTGAACGTGTAGATTTTAGGAAATTAGACTAATAAACTATAGAAAACATAAAATAAAAAGGTAGTGAATTATATATTTTTATTTCTTACTTACGCCTAAGTCCTTAATGCCTTCTGCAAGTTTAATTAATCTATTGACCATTTCTTCATCTGTGTGGTTGATGTAAATCAAAAAGAGCAAAGGTCCTAAGACTGAACCCTGCGGTACCCCATTTGTATCATTAATCCAGTTTGAATGAACTCCATTTGTAACAACCCCATTTGTAACTTATCCTCCCCACCTATAGAGATGGCCCGGCATGGCCAGGTGGTGAGGGCGCTTGACTTGCAATCTGCGGGTTAGAATCCCCGTCACACCAAACATGCTTGCCCTTTCAGCCGTGGGGGCGCTATAATGTGACGGTCAACCCCACTATTCGTTGGTAAATGAGTAGCC